CACAGTTCAACATAGGCAGAGAAATGAACTAATTACAACAGACAGATGTTTTTGAAATTAGATTTAGGTAGGAGAGCTGCTGTCTCTGGGTCTGATGTAATCACTCAGCTATTTGCTTTTCCACACCACTGCTTATTTAGCCAGACAGGATGTGATTGAAAGTCCTGTTCGGAGTCCTACATTGATTTGATATGGTGGACATATTCCACAGTGGCTTGCTGATGTGGAATAATAAAATAACATCATAATCTGTGACATAAATTAAAAGCAGGAACATGCACGCAAACAGCTAATGACACTGGGGTCAAACCTATGTGACAACTAGACTTGGGGCAGGCAGGAATTAAAAGCCAACACACTAATCAACATTCAGCTGAGCTGTCAGTGAATAATGCACCGAAAATCTGGGAACACACACTGCTGGGCATGACAAACACTCTGCACCTGCGGGTGAGAATGTTGCCTGATGACAGCAGTGAGAATACAACACAATAGAGCTGTATAGAGGGAGAGGAGTGCGGCACAAACACTGCCAGGATTAGAGGTTCAGCTCTGACTGAAGCCAGCGGTGTGAATCAGTGGCTGAGTGATATGGCTCTTATATACAATGACATGATTTCATTTATCTACCGTCTGAGATTTGGCCATACCTCTTCATATTTCTGGCTCTATTATGTTATGTGGGGCATTTTTGCATCTCTGTGATGGGGTTCCTTGTTTTTTTTCAGGATTGCATTTTGTCCCACTGAGTCAGAGGCGAATTCACAAAAGGACTGCACGACTTTAGGGGCCCATAAACCTTCACAAACAAGACAAAATAAACTCACAGGAGGTGAAATGAACCCCGAACTGTGCTGCCAAGCCGACATCACTCCCAACTCGTCACATAATATCGCTGCTGACTTAGATTTTGACGTCTACATGTGACACGTTAGATATCCTAAGTGCGTCTGTTGACATTCTGGGATGCCATGTCAGTTTATGCATGTTACATGCATTGTGTCTTTTCAAAATAAACTTCCGATTTCACAGGAAATGTACAGATTCTGCTCATCAGATGCAGAAAGTCTTTTTCAAAATAAACTGACAATGTAGATTAAAAACTGTATTAAGTTTACTTCCTTAAGTTCAGGCACATCATGGTTTGGCGTAAAATAAGTATGATTGTTGCTAATGCAATATAACGTCATGTAATGTAACACGCTGCACATACCAGCACACTACGTTGTCATTAACCCTCTGAAACCAGCAAATCATCTTGATTTCTGTTACAAACATGGGAAGAAGGCAGTGAGCAACAAAAGAGAAAATGACCCAAGAAATTAGTAAAAAGAGAAAATTAAAAACATGAAAATTAAATCATACAGCTGCTGTTGTGCATCAGTGTCTGCAGCCATGGCCCACTGACAAAGCCGTGGTATTTGACGAGTTGGGGGTGAGAACCAGCTGGAAACCCTCAAACCTGGCTGAAGGAAAATGATGCTGATGGACAACTGATTTCATTTCAGAGGTTGGACGCTCTTATATTTTTGGTCTTATAGTATCGTCGTGTCCCAAAGGTTCAAACACCATCTGTTAACATTTCTGTCAGTGAGCATCGACTGTGTGATCCGTCCTGTTCTAACAGTTAACATCGTGCCACTCTAATATTTCATGCTCTGATTTTAGACCTGACATCCATCGCACCTGTCCAACTTGAGACACAGAGTTCTCGCTGTTGTTTTCTTCCTCGAACTTGTTCCCAGCGTGCACCGCTGCAGCTCTCTTGTCAGATGCCTTAAGTGTTACTATGTATGGAGAATCAGCCTGAGTGACATGGTCACCTGTCACATTCAAAAGGAACGGGCATCTCTCTGTCCTCCCTCCTATCCCTGTGGTGCACCTTTGACTGTTGCCGTGACAACGGTAACCTGTTGACTCGTGGGCTTTCTGGTGATGGGGTCAAAATCATCTGCACCTGCAGCTGAGGAGCTGTCTGTCAAGTCAACACCTGCCATCAGGCCCTGGTGGACTCAGAAATGAGTCTAAAGTTCTTTTTGGAGGATTTCTCTCTGCTGTCTTCTTGAATGATGCCTCGAGGATCTGCCCCGTGATGACGGCAGACACACGCTGCCTTTGAAGAATGTGTCTCATGTTATGATATAAAACATCTCCAAAATGGCTGAAGTGCAAAGAGCAAGAAAAAAAAAAAAAAAAACCTGAGTGGGTGATATTGATCACACAGCTGAACAGCAGAAGAGATTATTGACTGGATGAGGAATATTCAGAGAGGCAGCCAGACAAGCTTTAAGCTTTTTAAAATACATGAGCGAGCTGATGGTGACATCACCACTTAGAAGCAGAAGTCAAAGGTCGCAGTGAGATAGCTTCACATGCACAGCAGGATACTGACTATGTTACATGAAGGATTTCTGTGTAAAGAGCTGAAGTGAAACTGGAACTTCCAGGTTCTGTTTCAGAAGTGAGAAAACCTCACTGACATTTGGAACGACGCTCAAAACTAAACAGAATCACCACCTCACTGACTGTACGCAGCCACAGAGCACTCACAAGTGTCAGTTCATCCATGTCTGTGAAAACATGGATGCTTCACACACAGAAGATCTATACAATCAAAAAAGAGTTTTAGCAGAACATGATGATGTCACAGTGAAGTCGACCTTTGACCTTTTGGATACAAAACGTCATCACTTCATTATTTTAGACATTTGAGTCAAGTTTTGTCATAACTAGTGTGTGTATTCTTAAGTTATGGCAAAAAACATGTTTTGTGAGGTCACACTGACCTTGGACCACAAAATATATCTAATCAGTTCATTCAATAGAAGTGGACGTTTGGGCCAAATTTTAGAAATTCCCATCAAGGCCTTCTTCCAACGTCACTTTCACAAGATGGGACAGACGCAAGGACACAGTGACCTTTGACCACCAAAGTCTAATCAGTTCATCCTTGACTCATAGTGGATGTTTGTGCCAAATTTGAGGAAATTTCTTCAAGGCTTTATTGAGGTATAGCATTCATGAGAATGGGACAGACAGACGGACAACCCATAAACACAACATCTCCAGCCACAGCAATCAGAGATCATGAATTATTGAGTTATGGTCAAAAACATGACGTTTACCTTTGATCTTTAACAACCAAATTCTAATCAGTTCATTCTTGAGGCAAAGTGGTTGTTTGTGCCAAATTTGAAGAGTTTCCCTCAGGGTGTTCTTGAGTTATTGCATTCACAAGAATGAGACAGACTCAATATCACAGTGACCTTGACCTCAAACAGCTGAAATCTAATCAGTTTATCGTTGAGTCCAGGTAAATATTGCAAACATTAAAAAAAAAAAAAAAAAAAAAATCTTAAATTATTCTTCAGACCTAATTTGCGAGACAAAGTCACAGTGACCTTGACCTATGACGACCAAAATCTACTCAGTTCATTGTTTAATTAGCGTATGAATTCGTCAGTTATGGCCAAAAACATGTTTATGAGGTCACAGTGACCTTGACCTTTGACTTATGGCCACAAAATTCCAATCAGTTCATCATTTCGTTCAATGGAACCTTTGTGCCAAATCTTGACCCTTGACCTTTAGCTACCAAGTGGATGTTTGTGCCAAAATTGTTGTTCAAGTATCATGTTCACTAGAATGGGACGGACCTGATAACATAACACCTCCGTCCTCGGCGATCACCAGTGTGGAGGCTTAAAAACATGATTCAAAAATTGCTCTGACATTTGGAACGATGCTAATAACTAACAATCCGGCCTTGAGCGCAGAATTTCTCAGCTGTGTGTAGGGATGGGTACCTTTCACATTTGAACCGATACGGTACCGATACCCGGTACCTGGGAATCGGTACCGGTATGCAACGGTACCTGTTTTCTGGGAATCGGTACCGGTATGCAACGGTACCTGTTTTCTGGGAATCGGTACCGGTACGCAACGGTACCTGTTTTCGGTACTGTTTTTTGCATGTATGTGTGGTAATAAAGGATATTTCATTTAGAATTTTTTTTTGTCAAAACTAACATTTATTTCTCAATATCAAACAGGATAAAACAACATCTAACACTGTTTGTAACATAATATCAAAAGGTAGCCTATATAATTGACTATGCAGCAGTTCTTTTTATTGCACAAAATGAACCCACTCCTACTACCTCCTATTCCTCCTCTTTCCCCTCTGGGAAAAATGTGTGTGGGGGAGTGTAACGTTAAAGTTAGAGAATACGAGGAAACGAGCTGATAATGATAACTAAGGCAAGTTAAAATGCGAAGCTAACGTGAGAATGACCAGAACAAAGCCCAATCATCTTAAACACTAAGCTTATTAATTACCTGGAACCGATGTAGCTGATGCCCCGCTTAATCACCGTCGTCATCATTGAACGTTAATCCCACTTCTACTGCCCCGATGCTGGCTGCAGATGACAACGAGCCGCTAGCTGTATGTGTGCTAACGCCGGGAGAAGTAGCCTTAACTTTCAGGCTATCAAATACTGTGCAGTCGTCAGCCTTTAAAAACACCTTGTGCTTAACCAGGTGCTTCCTCAGGTTTGAGGTATTTCCGTAGCTGGCCTTGCATTTTGCGTCGCACATATTGCAGCGCGCGTAGTCTGCATCAGACTTTGAGATATGGAGCCACACCTTCGACCTCTTTCTCTCAGCCGTGCTGCATTGTTGATAGTGACGTGATCATGCTCTCGTGTGTACAATGCTGCGTTCACGATAGGCAGCGAAAACGTCACTCCTCCACTCTCAAAGTCCCAAGGATGCGTTCAGGTACCAAAATGTGGTACCGTTTGATTTTACGTGAATCGATACTCGGGATTACCAGCCGAATTCGGTCGGTACCAATAAAAGTACCGAACTCGGTACCCATCCCTAGCTGTGTGTCATGTGACTCTCTTTACATGTTGCAGTGAGGTCTGTAGTTTTCTAGAGAACCCACCACACTCTTCATCTTCCTCACTCTTCATCTTCCGTCTCTGTGTACTGACCTGGCCCGGGGCTGATCTGGTTGTCATAGAGGTGGATGTCATCTCCGCAGGCGATCGGCGAGTCCTGTCCCTCCTCTCGGCCCTCGCTGCCCTCCTCCTGCTCCACCTCCCGCTGCTCTGGGGACACAACAGCAAAGGGTCACCTCCTGGACCTCAGCAGACTCAGTCATTATCATCTTCAGCCCAGGTAGCTGACAAGTCCAGACATTCTGCAGGTGCTCAGTGCACATTATTTCACCAGCTCGGCTTTTAGAGAACAACACAAAGAAATGATGCTCATCTATTTGAATAAACAGAACAACATCCATCAAGGCATTTCCCAGTGTGTTGCTGGTGTTAACAAGTCATTTTAACAAACTGCAGAATATTTTTCTTATTACTGGGGGAAACCTTTTCATTTGTAATTTTACTTTTCACAGATTCCTTCAGTGATCCTAACAACACCAGAATGTGGAAAATTAAAATACCAGACTGAATTATGTTGAGCTTCGAGACAAATAAAATGAGTCCTGTTTGAATACAAATCACTCATTATTAGGGACTGTTCATTAGTTATGGGGGAGGCATGTCAAATAAGCTTTAAAGCATTGGGAAGGGCCTGATTTTCTTATTTTGGCTTAGGGGAGGGCCATACACATTTAAATGGTTGGATTTTGTACTTCTTTTACAGACAAGTTTTCAAGAAAACATGCCCTCCAAATTGTGACGATTTTAAAGGAACTCCAAATTTTGTGTTAAACTGTGGGTAAAGTTTGGCGAAACATGTCTTCCCGAAAGCATGCTTTCTTTCAACATCGCCAAAATAACACCATTTATCACAACCAGAAACTGTAAAAATAGAAATTATTGTTGGATTTTACAACTTACGACGGCCCTTGAACACATCACGTGCAACAAACGCTTCCATTAGAGAGTGAAAAAACGATCTGACATGACAAGAGTTAAAAACTGAGGCTTTTATCAACTCCAGGATTTCATCTTCAACTTTTAACTTCCAAACATCACAGGAAGTTTTAAAAAGCTAATAACTCATTTATGGTGGAGGGAGGGTCATGGAATTTCCATTTTCTGAGGTATTCCTGCCAACATCCTGTGATAAGTAAGGAACAGTCCCTCAGTGTTGGAAAAAGTCACATTAACATGATGATATAAGTAAAAACCATTTCAGGATCCCCTGAAGTTTAATCTAGTCAGAACAGCGTTTAACAAAAAGTTTAGCAGCAACATAATTATAACAAGAAATTGTGACAGCTTGTCTGATGGTCGATGAACCATCCTGACACTGTAATAAAAATCTGCTGCTTAAAAAATAATGATATGCAAATATTATTTTAGTGTCACGTGAAGCTTGTCACAGTGACGCTCAAATATGTACTCAGATTTCAGTGCACTGAGGCTGAGAGAAAGAACAGGTATCATCTCATTAAAACTGGCTTCACACATTTATTATATCTTCTCCGTTATATATTTGGGACTGCAACTTACAATCATTTCATTATCGCTTAATCCACTTATTTTGTCAGTTGTTTAACTGATCATGTGGTCTATTAAGTTAAATGTAATTACTGAGCAGCAGTAGGTTAGTTCATGGAGACTTGGCGTGGGAACCTGAGGGTCACTGGTAGAGATGTACTTGGAGCCTTGATCACAGGACCCGTATGGGGTTGGGGCCACATTTTATTACTTTGATCCTGCATCTGTTTATTGAAATATGCGTTAACCAAGTGGATCCAAGAGGACCGGAGTTCAGTGACAGAAAGAAATAAGCACATGTGATGATTGGACTGATTTAGGATCTGATTTCAAGAGTGAAAGGAAGGTTAAAAACCAGAATCAGCGCCCCTGTGGTTGTATGACTCCACCCACCAGTCCACCCTGTGGTTGTATGACTCCGCCCACCAGTCCACCCTGTGGTTGTATGACTCCGCCCACCAGTCCACCCTGTGGTTGTATGACTCCGCCCACCAGTCCACCCTGTGGTTGTATGACTCCGCCCACCAGTCCACCCTGTGGTTGTATGACTCCGCCCACCAGTCCACCCTGTGGTTGTATGACTCCGCCCACCAGTCCACCCTGTGGTTGTATGACTCCGCCCACCAGTCCACCCTGTGGTTGTATGACTCCGCCCACCAGTCCACCCTGTGGTTGTATGACTCCGCCCACCAGTCCACCCTGTGGTTGTATGACTCCGCCCACCAGTCCACCCTGTGGTTGTATGACTCCGCCCACCAGTCCAGTGTCTCTGACAGTCTCCATCCATGTCAGTGAAAACATGGATGCTTCACACACAGAAGATCTATACAATCAGCACAGTTTCAAGATTAGAGTCACCAATTCAGTATCTGACCAAATGTCTCCCCTTCTGTTCCTGAGATATGACGTTAAAACATGATGATGTCACAGTCAAGCTGACCTTTGACCTTTTGACCTTCATTATTTTATCCTGTCAGACATTTGTGCAAAAAAGTTGTCATAATTAACACACTGATTCTTGAGTTCTGGAGGCCACCATGTACATCAGACACACTCTTGAATGAAAGGTGAAACATCTTCAAGAAACCAAAGCAGGTCCAGCTGCGTACGACTCAGCATCAATTTCTTCTCCTGGTCTTAAATGTTTTTCCGTACAGACCAGGAGCCAGGTGCAGCCCTCGTGATGTTTTCTACCACTGTTGTTTCATTATTATTTCCTGTCAGCCTGAACTTTGGGTCATCACAGCTTTATAACGAGCACCTCTAACTCTGAGCTGTTTGGTCTCAGGGGCCAAAAACACATTTGGGACATGTTTCTGGTGAAATGATGTAAACTGCCTTTGTTAACTTCAATACCTGACTGTAACTGTGTAATGGTGTGTGAATAAAAATGTACATGTTCTGCATCAATCAATTAATTGTGTTAATTATAATGTACTACAATTTATAACTAAGTTTAAGTTATTTCAGTTATCTCAAATTCATCTGCTATCTGTCTGATCCAACTGATTCAGCATCTTGTAAAACCTCTAAATTAACACAAAAATAATCAGAAATCAGTTTGAATGTGGTGATGTAGTCATGTCTGTTCATTTTGATTTTTAAAAAATATCAGAAATAGATTCAGCATCAACAATGACCCCCAACACTACTCCAACACTGTCCAAATCAGCCAAGCAGTCGCTGAAATATTGTTCATATGGGTGATCATGCTAATTAATCCCAAGTATGTTAATACCAACACAGTCAGCGTCCAGCAGTTTCTAAATGCTGGGAACCCAAACTGTACATTTCTAACATATAGCTTTGGTGTACTCAGCATCTGTGGGTCACACTGCTGGCAGGTCGAACATCTGGAAGTAGTGACTGACAGTTCAGTTTCCTCTGATTCGAGGTGGATAAATTCAAAATTTAGGTAAATGTGAGTGAAACTTTGAAGACAGAAAACATGGGATAAAACTTAAACTTATAAAGTTGGGAAGTCTTCTATACAAGTGAAGTAGTGATATTTAATACAAAGTGATTAAAAATTTGGAGGAGGCCGGTGTTCACTTCCTGTAAGACTGTAAAGCCAATTACTGTGTGATAGGAAAGATCTGGAGTGTCCTCGGGCTGAGGCTGGGCAGCGTGTGCATCTCAAATATGTGTTTAAAAATCTAAAATAATTGGTTTGGTAGTGTGGAAGAAAGTTTGATTCAATTCAACACCACCGGTTCAAATTTTTTCACTCTCAGGAGAGTAAGAGTTTGTTTCCAATCTCTCTCCCAAACTGCTTTTCAAATTTGACTTGCCACATCAGTTGTACCAATGTAGTGCTTTAATTTTGAAAGAGACTGTATCAAACTGTACATTTCCTGTGAAAACAGAAGTGTATTTTGAAAACAGACAATGCATGTAACAGGCTGAAGTTGACACGGCGTCCCAGAACGTCAACAACCAACACACCCAGGGTACCTTGGACGTCATATGTGGACGTGGAAAGTCCATGACCAAACGTGGACATGTGACGAGGTCACAGTGAGGATGAGTTGCCCAAAATCGGGGTTTTCGGGCTCCTGAGACCAAACAGTACCAAGCTGGAGGTGCTCATTATAAACTTGTGTTAACCACCGGTTCAGACTAACAGGAAATAATACTTGAAAAAGGCAGCAGGAAACATCACGAGGGCTGCACCTGGCTCCTGGTCCTCTTCTTCCTCACCACAGATTGTAACCACACCGTGTGTTTCACTGTGATTTTATTCGTCCGTAGATGATGTACAGTCTTGTGCACATTCATATGATGAAGATTCTATTTCTAGGTCCTTTTCCCATCTGGCAGCAGTCTCACAGTAAACTACTTTACAGTTTCTCCCTGTTGGTCATCATCAGTGTTCCTGTCAGAATAAAACACATATCGTGTGTTGACGTCAGTGAACGCAGCACAAACAGCTGCTGTGCGGTACCTGTTCTCACGCTTTACCTGGGAGAGATTTACTTTCATGTATAAATAGCCGCGAGGCGACGACCTCTGTGTCTGAAATCTTAAAAAAGACATGAATTGTGAGAGGAAACGGCAGATTTCCTGTTAGTCATCGTAGTCTTGATATGAAAACAGGTCTTTGATGAATCAGCAGGTAGACAGAGGGTTTTAGCAGGTTTTTTTCCTGGTGTGTAATGGGCAGGATTTTGCATGGTCGACAGCATCACAGGACTCAGCCTGGAGCTGTTTGTATGACTCATCCTATTTTCTCCTCCTGACACAGCAGCCCCTCCGATCCAATCCTACAGTAACTAGTGGGCTTCCAAATATCATTGTGCGATCGGGCTCACTGCGACCACAACAGCGTTCGTGCTCTTTATCTGCTGACCTTATCTGCGAGGTCTCCCCAATTTCAGTTTGTCTTGCGTCAGGATCATCCCTCAGCACTTGACATTATTTGAACCTGGCTGTGTCGTCGCCTCGTCTGCATCCCTCTGTGCCTCCGACTCACCGGCTGGGCTCTGACTTTCAGATCACCTTGGGGGAGAACGGCGGCGGCCGAGCACATCGACGGTTTGGCTCCAAATGGGATCAATTTCAGAAAAAGTTTTGACATGTTTATTAATATTTTTGTACTTTGGAAAAATTCAATTCTGCTTTTCACTATCTATTTATTTTTAATA